TGTGTTCACCCTGATTATTGTCCTCCGTTTTCATCTCTTTTACCGGCATAAATTCAGACAGCCGTCGGGTCAGACTGATCTCTGCATAAAACTAGAACAAAAACCATTAGACAGAAATCCTCCTCTGTGTTCCAGATTAAAGCTTTTTGAATCCCCAAGGTGCCGCTTATCCAGATGATTTTTTTTATTAAATCATAACTCTTATCCATGAAAGTAATTTTCATTTAAATCTCTAAACTACATCCCTAAATTACGGAGCCCCTCTGACGACCTGGTCAAAAAAAAAAAATGAAATTGTGGCCACGAAGTAGTATTTCGTGCACATGAAATACTATTAAGAATATTAATATCATTCCTGGACAACTGTGCAAGCGAATCAAACGCACCTTTTGTAAGGTCTAAGGTATTAGAGAGGCTAAAAGCTCCACCATGGAAAGGGACAGTGTGATAGAATTTTACGTCGACTTGGACGAATCATATTAATATTATTAATAAATATTTCGTGCACACGTTATACTAGTATTTCATGGCCACAATCAATTTTAAAACATTTTTTTGACCATGTCATCAGAGGGGCCTGAATGTGTACTGATGTCACATTCAGAGCATCAATGTGACTCTGATAATGAACTCAGCATATACAGGAGATGATTTTATCATAGATTTAAAAGAGAAAATCTTCCAGCCGTACCACGCTTACCCCAATACTCTATATTTGCGTTTATGCCTTGTTGGTATTATTATTATTATTATTATTATTATTATTATTATTATTATTATTATTATTATTATTATTATTGTTATCATCATTATTATTATTATTATCATTATTATATTATATTATATTATTATTAAATTAGTATAATATTAAATAAATATTACATAAATATTACATTTAATATAATTACTATAGTATTATTATAATTAGAACCAGATGAAGTGCATTTGTTTTGTTTTCATGCTCAAAGTTTTTCCCACAAGCCTTGTTGGTATTATTATTATTATTATCATCATTATCATTATTATATTATATTATATTATATTATATTATATTATATTATATTATATTATTATTAAATTAGTATTATATTAAATAAATATTACATTTAATATAATTAGTATAATATTATTATTATTAGAACCAGATGAAATGGATTTATTTTGTTTTCATGCTTAAAGTTTTTCCTTTTTTTCTGTTTCCAGTATGTGTTTGTGTCTCTGCTGTCGAGGGACAGCGTGTACGACGTCCTCCGGCGGATCTGCACGCACCTGCAGGTCAGCGCACGCCATTCGCTGGTAAACATGGCATTAAACAGGCGTTAAACCGGCTGTGTCTCTGTGCAGGTCAACGGGAAAAGTCTGAGCCTGAAGCAGTTCATGGAGGAGCCGACTCTATCGCTGGTCAGTGAGACCGAGCTTTAAATGTTTATGTTTATGTTTATGCATTTGGCAGACGCTTTTATCCAAAGCGACTTACAGAGTAGACACAATATTCCATTTATCATCACTATGACAGTAAGCTATCCAGAGGAGAAACACTGATCAGAGTCAGTGGTGAGATAGAGATAGAGGTAGAGGGACTACAGAAGGAGCTGTGGGGGGGTAGAGGTACGGGTTAGGGTTAGGATAGGAGCTGTGGGGGGTAGAGGTACGGGTTAGGGTTAGGGTTAGGAGCTGTGGGGGG